AAAAGCTGAATAGTTCAAGACATCGCGTTCACTGTTTAGCAAGTACATCCGATAGTATTTCACTACGGAAGGTTCAAAGGTAAAACTACCTTTCCGGATGCAGTAAACTCTCTATGAGTAAATTTTGCATTGCACATCATTTGCATTAGTTGCATGAGATGCATTTAGGTTCACCTAACTCAAGGCCCTATTTTGATTCTTGTGGGGGATTGTTGGATTTGGGGTTTATTTGATAGAATCAAAACGGGCCTAGCCCGTGAGAAGCCCGGTCCGTATAAATTTAAATCTGCAGAATATTAAGAGAATATTCTTATTTGAATTTGAAATTCAAATTCAAATTGGATTCAAATCCGCAGAAAATCTATCAAATATGATTGAGATAAGATTGAGATAATATCAAAATAAAATCAAATTTGAATTTTGAAATTCAAATTGATTTGTTTTGAGATTCTCCCCTCTACTATAAATAGGGGTCTTGGGTTAGCTCATAAAACACACAGAAAAGAAACAAGCATTCTAGAGAAAAAGAGCATTCACATATTTGCTCATATCTCTCTCTGAGTTCGCTTGGTATTTGGAAAGCTTCTTCCAAATACGCGGTCGTTGTATCCTGAGAGTTCACCGTGCTCCAATAGCCTCGAAGCTTTAGAGGTGGCACGGAAATCGAACTTAAGGAAACTGTGTTTCACAGGCCTCGACAAAATAATTTTTTAATTTCAGGTACTTATCTGGAATCGCTCGAATTGCCGGAGTTTTGCCGTCGTCAACAACCGCCGTCCCCAACAGTAAGTATATATAAAAATCATAAAAAGAAAACAAACAGAAGAAGACGCACTCATTTGGTATGATTAGCTCCAATTGCCCGACAAATTATCTCCTTGATTGATGCCACTAAGACAAGAAGAAAAGTGACGGCCACCAATTTCTACCTCCTCAAATATCAGCAGAGACACATTCGGATAAGGGAGAGGAGGAAGAGTCTCAGAGAGAAATTATGAGTGAATTTCCGGAGAATTCAAGAGGAGTTTTTGGAGTAACACATATAATCAGAGAAGAATAGCTGCAAAAATACTGAGCAATTTCTTTCTCCTATCTTTATTTTACTGTGAATCTCTCCTGGATTTTTATTGTTGTTGTTATAATTTCTATGTCTCGTGAGTAATTTTTCTATCATCGTAGGTTAGAGACTGATAAGGGTTATGTAAAAATTTCGTGTTTGAATCATCTTGAAATTATGGTTTTATGATTTGGATCGAATGAATAGATTTTAATGTTACGAATTATACTGGCCATATGATTTGTTGGTTTTTAGAATTTAAATTTGCATAGAGATATGAAATTTAAATTCGAAAATTATTCATTCGGTTAAATGATTTTCGCATCGAGAGATGGTTGCATCATTTAGCAATTATGATAACAAGCTTAATGATCTTAGGAGTTTCGATTTATTTGGAACCGAGAGGTCGGTAGATTTAAACTCCCGAGATAAGAGGTGAGACTCGAGAGAGTGATCCTTGACAAACGATATTGAATTTTCCAAATCATACCCATAGTTATCGAGATATATCCTTAGAATAATTTTTTACATAACCCGAAAAAATCTCAACACCTACGATGTTTAAAATTGAATTGTGTTAAAACTGTTATTTTGTATTTATTTTAATTTGTGTTTATATTTATTCATCGTCACTGCCACCTAAAATATCACCGTCGACCGAAACCGAGTAAAACTCGTAATTGTATCATTAATGCCCATGTGTCTCTGTGATCGACCCTAGAATACTACGATTGACCCATATACTTGCGTAGTTATATCTAGGAAATAAAACGAGATTAGATCACACCCTACATCGACATCAAGTTTTTGGCGCCGTTGCCGGGGACGCAAAACGGCTGTAGCGATACGATTAGGAAATTGTTCGGTATATGTCATTTTTTTTTCTTTCTTTTTCTTTTTGATCTTCACCTTTTCTCGTTGTTGCTCCATCTTTTTTGTACGCAGGATTCCTCCAGTATATGACAAGGAGCGGTGGGTCAGGAAATCTAGTTCATTTTAACCCTGAAATCGAGAAAACTACTAAACAAAACCGAAAACAACATCGAGAGGGGATGGCAGAACACGGCGTTGTACCCGTACCCGGAGATGCGCATGTAAATGAAGAAATCTTTGCGCAGTACAATGCTCCCAAACACACTGAGCTCATGTCCGACATACGGATGCCGGAGGTTGACATGACAAGATTCGTGCTGACTCCCACCACTATCCAAATGCTGAGCGCCATGGCCTTCCGGGGTAGGCCGAACGAAGATCCCAATGCACCCTCACGAGGTTCAAGATGATGTGCCGATCCATCAAGAGAGCCGATCAGGTAACCGAAGATGCAATCCGCCTGATTGCTTTCTCATGGACGTTGATCGACGCAGCGCTCGACTGGCTCTATGAACTCGAACCGGATTCCATTCATACATGGAACCAACTAGAGAGCCAGGTCATGCAACACTTCTTCTCCCCACATCGCACTCAAGCCTCCTTAAACAATATTCACTCGTTCAAGCAAGACCACGGGGAGAGTCTGCACGAAGCGTGAAAAAGATACAAGGGCTACCAAAAATCGTGCCCTCACCACGGCCTCGACAAGAACTACCTGATCAACACGTTCATCATAGGTTTATGACCAGATACCCGGACATTGATCCGAACCGCCTATGGAGGAAGCATTTCTCACATGTCCTTCACGGATCTTGAACAACACATTGATCAAATGGCAAGAGAAGAAGATTCTCCACTTGAGTTCGTAAGAGACATGCCCAGGAAAGATAGCGACGCTAAGCTGCAACTGGTGCTAGACGAACTCGCTGCACTAAAGATGAAACTTGCTAATGCAAGCTTTGTTTCCTCTACAAGCACATCAATTGGTCAGCAAGGCGAGCTCGCTTTGTACGCTGTTGACGAAGGAATAGAAGATGTGAATTATGTCGCCAATAACCCTTATTCTAACACGTACAACCCAAGATATAGGAACCATCCAAATCTCTCCTGGAGGAACAACAATGTCCTGAACCCTCCGCAAAATAATTATCGGCCAATGCAGAACCAGAACCAGCGGATTCCGCCAAGGTTTGCCTTTCAGCCGCGGGGCCCCACCAATGCAGAATCAAGGGCCGATTCAGAACCAACCATACAGACCTCCGGTTCAGAATTTTCGAGCACCTACACCTCCTACACCACAACAAGATGGTGACTCGGAGATCAAGGCAATGTTAGCACAACTTTTACAAGGACAAAAGACGCAAGAAACGGTGCTACATAGCCTGAAGATGGACCAAGAGGAGGTAAAGAATCAAGTGGGGAGCATGCAGTCTCAAGTGGATGGGATGCAGTCGCATCTAAAATTACTCGACAACCAGGTTGCCCAGATGGCCTCGGCATCTCAAAGACCAAGCGGGTCACTTCCCGGAAGCCTGAGATCAACCCACGAGAACACTGCAATGCTATCACCCTGAGAAGTGGCAAGCAGCTTGAAGAAGTCACTTCACCAATGATGGAAAAGGGGCAAAGCTCCAAAGGCAAAGAGGTCGTGAACGAAGAAGCTGAGGAAGTCTATGTTCCTCCACCATCAAGACCTCCGTTCGTTCCTTTTCCATCTCGCCTGAAGAAGCACAATGAGGACCGACAATTCGCGAGATTTGCCGAGATGCTGAAAAAGCTTGAGATCACCATGCCTTTCACAGAAGCCATCCTGCAGATGTCGTCTTACACAAAGTTTCTCAAGGACATACTCACGAAGAAGCGAGTCGTGGAAAAAGAGACGGTATCGCTCAACACCGAATGCAGTGCGCTAATTCAACATGAGTTACCACCCAAACAAGCTGACCCAGGAAGCTTCTCGATACCCTGCAAATTGGGTAATGTCTCCATTGACAAGGCATTATGTGATCTGGGGGCCAGTGTTAGCCTTCTCCCACTATCGATATTCAAGAAGTTGAATGTGGGAGAGTTGAAACCGACAAGGATGGCGCTCCAGCTTACTGATAGATCGGTAAAATTTCCCGCTGGGATATTGGAAGATGTGCCACTTAAGGTGGGAAACTTCTTTGTACCAGTCGACTTCGTGGTATTGGATATGGACGAGGACTCGAGAGTACCGATCATACTTGGTCGTCCATTCCTTAACACCGCAGACGCAGTCATCCATGTGAGAGCTGGCAGGCTGACGATGAAGATTGGCGATGAGACGGTGGAGTTCACACTTGATCAGAACCTCAAGCAACCCTCTGTCATGGAATCTTCATACTTCATCGACATGATCAAAGTTTTGACGGAGGAGGTATTTGATCAATTGCAAGATCGCGATCCTCTGAAGATGATACTTCTAAACCCTGAGAAAACTGACAAGGAACATATATGGACCTTTAGCCGAATCCTGGATACACCCGACATACCCCCGATGGATCTATCAAAGCCCCCGATTCAGGCTATTCTGTCCTCTGAGGGTGACACCAATCTTGAGATCACTGCCACTAATCGAGCCCAAGAATCCAAAGAGACTCCAGTCATCACATCTTCTCCGCTTAGACCCGACTGGAGTCGACTAAACTGAAGCCCTTACCACAAGGGCTTAGGTATGAATTTCTCGGCTCAGACTGAACTTACCCTGTGATTATCAGTTCTTCCTTGGATGATGCTCAGGTACAGGAGCTGCTAAACATGCTTCGAAAGTACAGGAAGGTCATAGGGTACACAATTGCGGATGTTAAGGAAATCAACCATTTCCTTTGCATGCATAGGATCCATCTGGAGGACGAATGCAAGACTTCCATTGAGCATCAACGACGCCTCAACCCGATGCTGCAAGAAGTGGTGAAGAAAGAGATAATGAAGCTTCTCGATGCAGATATCATTTTTCCTATCTCTGATAGCCATTGGGTGAGTCCTGTATAGGTCGTTCCGAAGAAGGGAGGAATGAAGGTGGTCACCAACGAAAAGAACGAGCTCATTCAGACGAGAACGATGACCGGTTGGCGCATGTGTATTGACTATCGCAAACTGAACGCCAACACGAGGAAGGACCATTTTCCACTGCCATTCATCAACTAGATGCTAGAACGCCTCGCTTTACACTCGTACTTCTGTTTTCTCGACGAGTACTCAGGTTTTTTCCAGATCCCCATTCATCCTAATGATCAGGATAAAACTACATTTACTTGCCCGTATGAAACTTATGCCTATCGTCGCATGCCATTTGGATTGTGTAACGCTCCGGCGACATTCCAACGGTGTATGATGGCCATATTTTCCGATGTGATCGAGGAGTCGATGGAGGTGTTTATGGACGATTTCTCCGTTCATGGACCCTCCTTCGATATGTGTCTAATGAATTTATCTCGAGTGTTAGACAGGTGTTCGCAGGAAAATCTGGTACTCAACTGGGAGAAATGCCATTTCATGGTCTGAGAAGGGATTGTTTTGGGTCACAAGATCTCAGAGAAAGGGATCGAGGTTGACAATGCCAAAGTCGAGGTGATCGAGAAACTGCCACCACCGCATAATGTCAAAGCTATCCGCAGTTTCTTGGGCCATGCGGGGTTTTATAGGAGGTTCATCAAAGACTTTTCAAAAGTCTCGAAGTCGCTCACCGACCTACTTTGTAAGGACGCGCCGTTTATCTATACTGCAGAATGTGATGCCGCGTTCCAAACTCTGAAAAAGGCATTAGTATCTCCGCCGATTATTCAGCCTCCTGATTAGAGCCTTCTTTTTGAGATCATGTGTGATGCCAGCGACTATGCTGTAGGAGCAGTTTTGGGTCAGCGGAAGAACAAGCGATTACATGCCATATACTATGCTAGTCGCACACTTGACGACGCTCAGATAAACTACACCACAACCGAGAAGGGGATGCTCGCCATAGTCTATGCTTTCGAAAAGTTTAGGTCTTACCTAGCCGGATCGAAAGTGATAGTCTACACTGATCACGCAACTCTTCTGTACCTTCTGTCCAAGAAATACGCCAAGCCTCGATTCATCAGATGGACTCTTCTGCTATAAGAGTTTGATCTAGAGATCAGTGACAGAAAGGGAACTCAAAATGGTGTAGCAGATCATTTATCACGACTTGAGATTCCGAACCCATTGCCCATCGATGACTCATTGCGAGACGAGTATGTCATGGCCATTTCAGTCCACTCCGAGGCTCTGTGGTATGCAGACTTCGTGAATTATCTGGTGAGTGGGCTGATTCCTCTGGAGCTGAACTACAATGGAAGAAAGAAATTCATTCATGATGTCCGAGATTATTTCTGGGATGAAACTTTCCTTTTTAAGAGAGGAAAAGACGAGATATTTAGGCAATGCAGAAGAGGAGATTCAGAGCGTCCTTGCCCATTGTCATTCTTCTGATTACGCCGGGCATTTTGTTACATCGAAAACCGCTGTGAAGATTTTGCAGGCCGGGTTTTATTGGCCCACACTATTCAGAGATGTACATCAGTTTGTCTTCTCATGCGATGCTTGTCAGAGAATGGGAAACATTTCGCGTAGACATGAGATGCCACAACGGTACATCCTCGAGGTCGAGCCATTCGACGTTTGAGGAATTGACTTCATGAGACCCTTTCCATCATCCTGTGGAAAACGTATACATCTTGGTCGCTGTTGACTACGTCACTAAATGGGTCGAAGCACTAGTAAGTCCGAAGAATGATGCAAAGACAGTGTTTCGGATGTTCAAACGCACCATCTTTCCGAGATTTGGTATACCCCGAGTTGTCATCAGTGATGGTGGAACTCATTTCATCAACCAGGTGATTGAACAACTCCTGAAGAAGTATGGAGTGCGACATCGCATAGCTACTCCGTACCACCCACAGACGAGCGACCAAGTTGAGATATCTAACCGCGAGATCAAGACCATACTCGAAAAGACAGTATCACGCTCGCGAAAGGATTGGTCACATAAGTTGGATGATGCGGTTTGAGCATACAGAACAGCCTTCAAGACTCCCATTGGGATGACTCCGTTCCAGCTCGTTTACGGAAAATCTTTGACCGTAGAACTTGAGCACAAAGCGTTCTGGGTAGTGAAGGCGCTGAACTATGACATGAAGACAACAGCGGAGAAACGCTTTCTACAACTGCATTACCTTGATGAGATCCGTCTTGACGCATATGAGAACGCGAGAATTTACAAGGAACGCACGAAGAAATGACATGATCGTCACATTCTCTGACGATCGTTCAAGGTAAATGACCAAGTCCTTGTTTTCAACTCACATTTGCGTTTATTTCCAGGAAAGCTTAAATTCCGATGGTCCGGTCCATACACGGTGAAAGACGTTTCAAGCCACGGTGTGATTGAGATTTGGGGATGAGACGGAGGATCATTTAAGGTCAATACCCAAAGAGTCAAGCTATACAATCTGGCATTCCCGATCACCGAGAGAGGCATACTTCCTCTCTCTGACCCGTCCGAGAACTGAACGGAGAAGGTCAGGCTCACGACCCTAAACGAGTCCTTGTCGGGAGGGACCCCGATCACATATCCTTTGCGTTTGGTTTGTTTTTATTTTTGTAATATATTGTGTGCGGTTGAATGTTCTTTTAAGGGTCAGATGGAAAACAACCACTCTCAGAAGAAAAAGACCGAAGCTCCATGAGAAAGCTAAGTGTCTCCCTCTTTTCCATTCTTTCCTACATATCATGAGTCTTTCCTCGACCAAAAGGCGAGCTAACACCGAAGACGATGTTCAGTTCAAATTTGGGATTTGGGAGAGAGATTCGATAGTCAATTACATCGATAATCGTATTTTTAAGGTAATATGTACATTTACATAGATATATGCAAAAAAAATCCAATTGTGTGTGTATATATACGTACATGTGTGTGTTTTGAATCGATAGAATTAGATTGTTTGAGATATTTTATGACCCGTATAGAACGAATTGTCGAGGATATTTTGATTCGCTAGATCGATTTTATGATAGAATTAGTTAGAACATGGGGTAAATTCGTATTCAGAATTTCGGAAGGATTTTTACCGTCAAAGTAAAAAAAAAAGATCCCGACACTCCTCTGTCATTATCTCGTTAATGAATATCATTCGGGGACATGAGTGCTCTTAGGCTCGGGTCTAAGTTGTGGGTTGAGAATGTGTATATATGTACATATGTGTGTTTGAAAAAAAAAAAGATTCTGCTCGACAACTTCAACGTCCTAGAAGCACGGGACATATTTTTTTCGGAAGAGTATCAAAAAGAAAAATGAGAATATGAGATATTTGAAAACATGTTTGATAAAGATTGGTCGAAATCCGGAAGAATTCTAAATAACAAACCCCGTCTCTAACTGATATTATCATACAGATTGAGAAGCCGTATAGAATGTCTTTGATTTCGTTCTCGGTTAGGATCATGTTCGATCTCTAATCTATTTCTACGATTCTTTTTAGTATTAATTTTATTCATCAGTTTTTCGGGATTTAGTTTGCTCGATGACGAGCAAAACGTTAAGTTTGGGGGAGTTTGATAATATGTATATATTAATATATTTTTGTATATAATTTTTATTTTATTTCACGAGATTTATATGTTTATAGGTACTATTCGGTATAATTTTACTTTGATTTCGATGTTTTCATATTTTGTAGGAAAGAGCGGAAAACGAGTTTCATCGAGAAATTTTTCAGGAGATTCAGACGAAAATATATGAGCGCGGAATCGATCTGTAAAAAAATAAAAATAAAAATAAAAATAAAAAAATAAAAATAATAAAAATAAAAAATAAAAAATAAAATAAAAAAATAAAAAAATCAACGATGGAACACCATCGTGTCTATATAGTATAATATATATATATATGTGATATTTGTATACATAAATATATGTAAATATATATAATGTGCATGTGTACTAATAAATAAATACTGTGTGTCAGACATATGTTTGCGTGTAACATGTATATGCATATATTTATATAATAAAGTAAGTATATATAAAAATCATAAAAAGAAAACAAACAGAAGAGACGCACTCATTTGGGGATATATCCAATAGACTTTTTTGACCGCTGCATTTCTTTCTATATCCTTCAAAATCTAAATTAAAAAAAAAGTGATTGAACATTGAAAAAGACAGATTAACCCTCATACAAATATACAAAGATGAAAAAGTACTCTATCTAAATTTAAAAAATAAAAATAATCTATTTTTTATTTCTCTCTCCTAGCGATAAAGTATTGTATCTGAATTAAAAAAAAAACTATTTTATCTTCTCTCTCCTACCTCAACCTTACGATCCTCTTTCTCTCTCCTAATTCTCACTATCTCTTCTCTTTTCTTATCGAAATCGTCGATTTCTTTCAAATTTAAGTCTGATTTCTCTGCAGAATCTCCCTCTCTTTAACTCTTTTAAGACTCAAAGAAGAAGAAGAAGCGAAGAAGACAACAAAAAATGGCTTTGACATCAGCCCAATATTCATCTTCATCGGCATCTTTGACCGAGACCAAAAACCGATTACGAATGGCAGAATTAGATGAACACGTGGTAAGTTACTTCTTTTTTTGTGAGATTTGTTGGATTTTGGCAATATTTAATATTGATTGAAGTATTGGGTATTGGGGTTAGGATTTGACGGATAGAAACTTAGGGTTATGTTTTTTGAAATTTCTGAGATTTCAAAATAGATTTTGGGTTTGAAGTTAAGTAATCGATTGTAATATAAAATTTCAAGTTTTGAGTCACATGGATGTATGGGTCGATGTTTGGGTGAACAATGATATGTTGATTTAGGTCACATAATTGTATGGTCACAAAGTGAAAATATCACAGTTTATAGGATGATTTAGCTCACGCGTGGTCACTTGGTCACAGGTTTTATGGTCACATGATATCATGTTTGCATGGTCACATGGTACCGTATTGGCATAGTCACATGGTACCATGTTCATATGGTCACATGGTCACATGGTACCATATTCATATGGTCACATGGTGTCTTGATGACATGGTCACATGGTCTGTTGGTGTCATGGTCACTTGGTTAAATATAATAACATAAAGTCACATTTATTTTCAGAAAATTAAGAGTATACTAAATAAAGAAACGTTTGAAGAAGCACTTCTTTTTTATTTGGAGGAATTGACGTCGTCGAGTTCATGACTTGAAAATTCGTTCAAGAAAGTCTTCTAAGAAGAAGGGAAAAAATCTGATAGATGAAGAATAAGTAGAAGACGAGCGAGCAGAAGAAGAACAAGAACAAGGACAAGGATAAGAAGAACAACTATATGTGATGACAATATCACTAAGATGCGTGAGCAGTTGACAGCCACCATATTTGTTAATGGAAGTGTTCAGAAGTAGAATCAAGAACTAATTTATGTTATAAACTTATTTTTTTTTGTTATGACCTTTTTTTTGTTTATTATAAATCTACAGAATTTTGTGTTATGATATAATGTTTTATGTTTATTTTATATATGAACATATGGGGTGAAAACTATTGAAAGGTAAAAATTTTAGGTTGAAAAATTTTGGAAGAAAAAAAATTTGGGTCAAAAAATATTGGATGCTAAAAAATATGGGTTGAAAATGTTGGGTCCCACCGAAATCAAAGATAAAATGTCAATAGTAACTTTTTTTGTACACTTGGATGAGACTGGGCCCCACAAAAAATATTGCATGTTCAAACTGGGACCCACAGTATTTCGGTCACAATGGGTCACAGTTGGTCACAAGGGTCGATTTAGTAGATTCTTTCAAATGAATCGATCTGAATGTCATCACATCTTCTTTATGCACCATTTTGAACTATAATAATTGAGTTATTCGAATTTTGTGTGCAAAAGTATTTCTCACAAATGTGATACATTAGTGTTCATAGTCTTTTATGAAGAATTTTGAAAATTTTGGTATTTTTATATTACAAACTCATTTTAATGTTTTGTAATTTTGTTATCAACATAATATTTATATTCCTTATACCTTATACCTTATACCAACATACCAAAGCTTGAAAACTACGTTTTCACCTGTATTTACCTTCGTCACTTGGTCACAGGTCACATCCGGTCACAATGGGCACATAGTGTAAAATTGCACATTGGTCACATGCTGGTCACGTGGGACCCAACTACTACTCATATGAGATGAATTATTTACTGTTTTTTTAATATGTAGAATGAAACTAAAGTATTATAACACATTATTTTAATACATTATTATACAAAAGTCTTAATATTTTAGTGTACAGATATAATATAACATTATTATACAATTTATATTTCTTTATTCATTCAAAATTAGGGTTTCTCTCAAACTTTGTTGATGTTGATACTCTTATTGTGACATAGATCCGCTTTTGGACTTTACTAGGACCTGAAAAGCGGTTTTGTTTAGGTCTCTTAATTTTTTGTTTGTCTTCCAATTTCTTTGTACCTTTTATAGCTTTGTTAAATTCTTATACGGGTTTGCAACTATGCAACTTCCAACACTCTTTGGTTTTTCATCACATTTCCTTCTCATTCATATTCTCCATTCTTATTCATTATCCATTTACCATCATACATAAAATATAAAATTGTCCATCTCTCATCTCGTCAATCTATAATAGTTGTAGAAAATATAAATACAAAATACAGATCAATTCGACTATTCTAGACACGGTGACCATGTGACCATTATTACCATTTTTGACTAAGTGACTATGTGATCATATGAACATAGTAATATGTGACCATTATTACCATTCGACCATTTAATTTAAATATATGTGACTATTATTATCAATCCGACTATTATGGAGATCATGTGATCGTGTTATCATGTGAACCTGGTACCTTATGACTATGTGAACATGGTACCATGTGACCATGCAAATCTGGTACCATGCGACCATGCGAATATGGTACCATGTGACCATACGAGCCTGATACCATACAACAAAGGATAAAACTTCACAAATATCACCAAGTAGAAGAAAAGAAGTGGAAAAAATATCATTCTTCATCAAAATAATCCCACAACCATCAATGTATATGAAAAACAATAAGATTTTCGCAATTGATTATTTATTTCTAACTCTTCACTAATTTTTCACTGATTCTACTTTGATTTCGAGCGATTTTGATGAAAAAAATAAGAAGAGAGAGAAACTGCAGGAGAGAGAGAGTGGCCAAATTCGATGAGAGAGAGTGGCAAGAGAGAGAAACTCAAAAAAAGGAGAGAGAAACCGAAAAAGGGAGGAGAGAGAAGAATCCTACATTTAAGGAGGGATATTTTTATTAAAAAAATTATATAATATAATATATTAAGGGTATTTTAGTCATTGTGTATTAAAGAGGGTATTATAGAAGTTGGATTTTTTTTAGGATGAGGGTATGAGTGGATGTTGATGTAGCACATAGAGGGTATAATAGAAGTTGCCCCCACTCATTTGGTATGATTAGCTGCAATTGCCCGACAAATTATCTCCTTGATTGATGCCACTAAGAAAAGAAGAAAAGTCACGGCCACCAATTTCTACCTCCTTAAGTATCAGCAGAGACACATTCGCAGAATGGAGAGGAGGAAGAGTCTGAGAGAGAGATTACGAGTGAATTTCCGAAGAATTCAAGAGGAGTTTTTGGAGCAACACATATTATCAGAGAAGAACAGCTGCAAAAATACTGAGCAATTTCTTTCTCCTATCTTTATTTTACTATGAATCTCTCCTGGATTTTTATTGTTGTTGTTATAATTTCTATGTCTCGTGAGTAATTTTTCTGTCATCGTAGGTTAGAGATTGATAAGGGTTATGTAAAAATTTCGTGTTTGAATCATCTTGAAATTATGGTTTTATGATTTTGATCGAATGAATAGGTTTTAATATTATGAATTATAATGGCCATATGATTTGTTGATTTTTAGAATTTAAATTTGCATAGAGATATGAAATTTAAATTCGGAAATTATTCATTCGGTTAAATGATTTTCGCATCGAGAGATGGTTGCATCATTTAGCAATTGTGATAACAAGCTTAATGATCTTAGAAGTTTCGATTTATTTGGAACCGAGAGGTCGGTAGATTTAAACTCCCGAGATAAGAGGTGAGACTCGAGAGAGTGATCCTCGACAAACGATATTGAATTTCCCAAATCATACCCATAGTTATCGAGATACATCCTTAGAATAAATTTTTATATAACCCGAAAAAATCTCAACACCTACGATGTTTTAAATTGAACTATGAAAACTGTTATTTTGTATTTATTTTAATTTGTGTTTACATTTAGTCATCGTCACTGCCACATAAAATATCACCGTCGACCGAAACCGAGTAAAACTCGTAATTGTATCATTAATGCACATGTGTCCCTGTGATCGACCCTAGAATACTACGATTGACCCGTATATTTACGGTAGTTGTATCTAGGAAATAAAACGAGATTAGATCACACCCTACATCGACATCAGAAGTTATTGCAGAAAACAGGGTACAAGTTCTGAAAATCACTTCAGAAAGGAATCCAGCTGACATCTTGACCAAGACACTACCAATCAGCAAGTTCAACCAGGCGTTGGCATTGCTGAAGGTCACTGGCAGGTAATGTCAGTGGAAACCCTGCCAATGGGTATAAAAGATAGCTTGGTTGCATTCGTTAGTGGGAGAAAAGAGACAGCTAGAGTCTGGTCATTTCAGGCAAGGTGGAGTTTGTAAAGAAAATGCGTGAGATGAGAGACTCCAGCTGGTTTGGAAGGTCATTAAGAGCATTGATGTAATTGAATGTAGGAAGGCTGTTATTTTGGTTATGTATTTGTTAAAGGCTCGAAATCAGAAGCCTCCGAGTACTGTTCATCGTCTTCTTCATTTTTCCTTCCTGTAATTTTCTCTCTAGGTTGTTTTCTCGGGAAAGTTACACTCGAGAGGTGTCGTCTGTTTTCTGATCAACCACTAGTGAATTGCCAAGTTACTTAGTCGAGACGTAGGATCGGTTTGTGATCCGAACTCGTAAAATCCTCTCGTCTCTTTCATTCTCTGTTTTTGCTCTCAATTGCTGGGTTCTGTTGCAATCATCGGAACTGGATTTGAAAGGCAGCGGTACTACATAGATAAATGCTTGAAATATTACCAGTGCGATCTAATAAGCCGGGGCTTGAGATTTAGGTAGGCAAAATATGAAATGAATTGGATAAGGAACATGTGTCATTGGAGTCACTGAATTAATCATTGAGCTGACTAACTATACGGATTAAACAAACTTTCCATGAAGATGAAATATTGTGCAATCCGGGTTTCTGTTAAAATTTTAGGTGCTGTTCAGGAGAATAATGAAAGGAAAGGCCATCATCAAACAAAGTTAAGAAGTCAAGAAGTTCCTTGTCAAGCCGAGGAAATGGGAACATTAGAAGAAACGGCAGTGAAAGGCAGTCCGGTAAAGAAAATGGTTTTTGGTGGTTGAAGCTTCCATATGTTTTGGTACGTATATACTCAGGCTCTCTGTCTTTCTGATTTGTTTACACAGTTTTAGTGTAGTGATAACGAAAGTTCTATACTTTCTTCTTCTTTAGAGAATTCTTATGCGGAGTAATATTGACGAAGAAGTATCTGAGGGTTTCTTTATTATGAGAACGGAATCTGCGGATAAAAATGAGACCGAGAATTCATACGTTGTTGCATTTGAGGATCAAAATGATGCCAGAAACTTCTGTTATCTGCTGGAATCGGTTTTTGAAGATTTAGGTGGTTTTTGCACCGATATTGTTCCTGCATCAACCAAGGTAAATACTCGTACTCTGTAACAAGACGAGAAGAAAACACATTGATAAAGTTCGATCGAAATGTTAACTGCTTAGTCCCAACGGAAATACAATCTCGGCATTTGTTTCCAAGGATTTATGACTACTTTAAAGTTTCTTTTATGTTCTTTTTTTGAATCAAATTGAAAACTTTCCCGCAGGATCTTCTCAAAGAAGTGAGTTTGTCCGGGAAGAAAGTGATCGTTGTGAAGAAGAGGCAGCTCACTTTGTATGCCGGCCAACCATTTGAAGACGTCGAAGGAGCATTGCATTCTTTGATCCAAGAACAACGAATATAGCAGCTGGAGATTTTCACAGACGATTCAGGAAATTGAGAGAAACAGAACATGGGGAAAATATCTTCCAGAGATTTGATGTCATGACAGAACATTGTTATTAGGACATGAAAAAAGGAACAAAACAACTGATGTATAGCTCTGTATTCTTCATCAATGGAAACCGACGTTTGCTTTTGTTGCTTCAAGGAATTGGAACCAAACTCGGAACATAATTGCATGAATGATGCCAATTATGACGTCCATCCCATCTTATGAACCTGCCACCCTCTTCGAAAATGTAAATGGACATTGCCATTATGTCTTCAGTGTATAGAACTAGCGTCTTCCTCTTGTTCTCTTCAACGAAGAAATTCAGTTCCATGAAACCCAAACCAAAGTTATCAACAGTCATGAACTTGCTCCACGATATCCCGATCCCATTTCCAATCTTATTCGTTATCCAAATCCCGATTTTCTTTGCAATGCACTGCTCTAACACCGAGAGCCGGTCTCCTCCTAAAACCGACATGCCCAAGTAACCTGGATAAACATAGTTAAAGGGTAGGTTAGAGAAGGGCTTGAATCTCTCTGTTGCGAAGTCGAAACTTTGGATGAATCCTTGTAGTGTATCTTTCCTCACGGCAATCATATAGGAATTTCCCTTGAATGATACAGCGAGTCCCAGACTTGCAGGAAACCAGTCGAAGAAAGGAACATCAAGAACCCTCCATCTACCCAATGTAAACTCGAAGATTTCAGCTCTTAGATCTGAAACTTGACATCGAGGATGCAACCTTAAGATTTTGTAACCATTGCTGAGTTTGTTGCAGTATCCAAGACTGTATGTAGAATTGCAGTGAACTTGAGCGGATTCTTTTCTCTTAAAAGCATAATGATTTACCGTCCGGATAGATCTCTTCTGCTTCAGAAATGGGTTTGAAACTTCGAGGCCATGGTTCGTGACATATAGCAGCAACCCATCAGAGTGAATTACCCGACATATTTTCCGATCATTTGAAGGAGGATTTCTTGAGGTAAGATCATGGAACTTGAGAGATGAAAGAGCAATGTTGTCGCTGTTATGGTGTATCTCAACATTGATCAACTTGGAGTAAAACGAACGGGGATGCCATAACATGAACTCTTGGGGGGAGGCATGATTGGACAAGTGCTTCTCGATGAATATCAGGTCATGGAACAGAGAGTTCCATTGTTTGCAAACGAATCTGAGTCGTGACAGAAATTTGGTGGGAACCCTCGAGAGTATTTCCTCTTCCAAATCACTTGGGATCTTCAAAGACATCGCTCCTTGTTGTGAATCTTGGGCCAGACAACAAGAAACACGACCTAACTCAAAAGCCCTAGCTCGCCCCTCCTCCTCCTCTTCTTCTTCTTCTTCTTGGAGAAGCAGCCCCCGTCTTCTTGGAATTCTGTGTTTTCAGCCGTTATGTCAACTTTTCAGGTTTCTCAGAGATTGTGACTATATAAAGTCAGCAAGCAATCTTGTTTCTTGATCAGGTTGGTTAAACCAGAAAGTCGTGTCAGCAATCTTTGACAGCTCAGCATCTCCTCCTCCTGTTCAGAAACTTGGTTGGGGGAGAGAATTCAACTTGCATACACTCCTACGTTATATGCCGCATTCATTTAAAAAAAAAAAAAAAAAACTGGGCATCGCCCTGTTTTTCATCACCATGATTTATCATAAGCATATCATGTAAAACTCTGGTTTTACATGAGAGATTTATCAAGAAGAGACGATCTTCATCATGCCTTGTGCGTTAAGCTGCGTCAGATTGGTCTCGCAAAACTTCTGCCATTCTTCTTGTTTGTTTTCTTCTTTCGCTGTGATCTTCTGGTAGACCGAGTTCACAATACTTCTCGCTGCTTCCCTTGCCTCCGGTAACTTGTCATTCAACAAACTTTTCCAGGAGCCGAACCAACCCGAATTCCTCCATATCATCAAGGCCCTTCAAAAGTAACCAGTTACATCAATGGCGTTTAGAAGATCTTATAGATCACAGATCAAGAAGAGGGCCATTCAGGGAAGAAAATTTGGTGGAATGACAGATACCATTTTGGAGATGCAGTTTGAGAGAGAGGCAGCAGCTTTGGCCCGGATACAGAGGTTGTTGTGACAGACGTGACGCTGGAGCTGACACAGAAGAGGCAGAGGAGCTGCCGAACTAGCCATCGGGTTCAGTGCTCTGTCTGCTTCTTCGCACACGAATTTCTTGTCTTGGGAAGCTTTCATCAGCAGCTGAAACATCTGTTTTCAACACCAACTGATTATACCTTTGTGTTAATTCTATGTAATACGAAGAAAAAAACGATACTTCCGATCTTCGAAAAGGATAGTCTACACTGATTTCCCTACATATTTCATTTGCAAAAACACCTCAGATTGAGCTTCCTCAATTATTACAGACTAGTTTCCTGATTTCAGCTTTTGTCCACACAACCCTTCTATTTCAGATACTGTCTGAAACACCCATCTCGGGATTTGTTCACTGATAAATCATATCCGTAAAGCAAAACATCTTATGCCGAAAAACGGGTCGTAATGCTCATCCCCATAACGTTATTAAACAGAGAAGAATTGGAGGAGAAAGTACTTACAGAATGGGCAATAAGAGAGAAGAGTGATGAACTGCGATTCTTCTTGTATTGTTCAGTGACTCACAGACTTTGATCCAATCTTTCGACGCTAGTTCTTCCAATAAACTCTTCGAAAAGATATAGCAAAAGGTCATTAAGCAATTTTTATCAGATTCGTAATCGACAAAACCCTTTCTTTCAGGAGGAAGGGGAAGAACAAAAAATCAAATTTGACGGATCAAAATCTCACCTTTACAATGGATTCAGGATCGGACAAGGATTTGAGATCCTCTGAAGCAATGTAATCACAGACGAATCTGCCGACGGCAGAGGAGGAGGAGCAAGGGGGTTATTTTCGTCATTTACGCCTATCTCTGGATTCTTCGAGAGTTTTGGCAGCTTTTTCTGGCGTTCGTGAGGAACTGGAAGAGTTTTATTGATGATACGCAATGCCATTGAATCTCTGGAAATTGTAGAAATCAGATGGTGTGGGGTTTAGTTTTATAGAGGGGAAAAGTTTGTTCCTTTTTTGGGGAATTTTTAAAATTTAAAGAAAGAAAGCGGACGATCCGATAACTGGTCGTCGGAGATTTTGGCTCCCCAACGGGTCTCGCAATTGCGATTTCAGATGAGCCGGTTCGGTTCGATTCTTGTAATTTGTATACCGACGGCAGAGGAGGAGGAGGAGGAGCAAGGGGGTTATTTTCGTCATTTACGCCTATCTCTAGATTCTTCGAGAGTTTTGGCATTGATGATACGCGATATAATACCCGATTCCCGTATAAATTATTTAAATTATTTTCTGGAATAAAAGGAGGACAAGACAAAAATATAGAGAATATTTCAACGAAGATCTAGAAGAAATCGACACTCGATTTGACTGAAAAATGAGGAAGTTATGAGCAAACGAAAATTAAGTAGAACCTAGAAATTCGGAATTCACTAGTTATTCGAGGTACGAACGTTTTGAGTTTCCAATAATCTATTGATTGGACACGAAAGAGGACGTTCCAAGGAAGATGTAGAAACAAACGGGACTCAATTCGGATAAGAAATGAGTGAGAATGGAGCAATCTAAGTCAGTCGGAACGAACCAGAAATCTCATTTGGTATGATTAGCTGCAATTGCCTGACAAATTATCTCCTTGATTGATGCCACTAAGAAAAGAAGAAAAGTGACGGCCACCGATTTCTACCTCCTTAAGTATCAGCAGAGACACATTCGCAGAAGGGAGAGGAGGAAGAGTCTGAGAGAGAGATTACGAGTGAATTTCCGGAGAATTCAAGAGAAGTTTTTGGAGCAACACATATAATCAGAGAAGAAGAGTTGCAAAAATACTGAGCAATTTCTTTCTCCTGTCTTTATTTTACTATGAATCTCTCCTGGATTTTTATTGTTGTTGTTATAATTTCTATGTCTCGTGAGTAGTCTTTCTGTCATCGTAGGTTAGAGATTTATAAGGGTTATGTAAAAATTTTGTGTTTGAATCATCTTGAAATTATGGTTTTATGATTTGGATCGAATGAATAGATTTTAATATTATGAATTATACTGGCCATATGATTTGTTGGTTTTTAGAATTTAAATTTGCAAAGAGATATGAAATTTAAATTCGGAAATTATTCATTCGGTTAAATGATTTTCGCATCGAGAGATGGTTGCATCATTTAGGAATTGTGATAACAAGCTTAATGATCTTAGGAGTTTCGATTTATTTGGAACCGAGAGGTCGGTAGATTTAAACTCCCGAGATAAGAGGTGAGACTCGAGAGAGTGATCCTCGACAAACGATATTGAATTTCCCAAATCATACCCATAGTTATCGAGATACATCCTTAGAATAAATTTTTACATAACCCGAAAAAATCTCAACACCTACGATGTTTTAAATTGAACTGTGAAAACTGTTATTTTGTATTTATTTTAATTTGTGTTTACATTTAGTCATCGTCACTGCCACATAAAATATCACCGTCGACCGAAACCGAGTAAAACCCGTAATTGTATCATTAATGCCCATCTGTCCCTGTGATCGACCCTAGAATACTACGATTGACCCGTATATTTGCGGTAGTTGTATCTAGGAAATAAAACGAGATTAGATCACACTCTACATTGACATCAGAAGTTATTGCAGAAAACATGGTACAAGTTCTGAAAATCACTTCAGAAAGGAATCCAGCTGACATCTTGACCAAGACACTACCAATCAGCAAGTTCAACCAGGCGTTGGCATTGCTGAAGGTCACTGGCAGGTAATGTCAGTAGAAACCCTGCCAAGGGGTATACAAGATAACTTGGTTGCATTCGTTAGTGGGAGAAAAGAGACAGCTAGAGTCTGGTCATTTCAGGCAAGGTGGAGTTTGTAAAGAAAATGCCTGAGATGAGAGACTCCAGCTGGTTTGGAAGGTCATTAAGAGCATTGATGTAATTGAATGTAGGAAGGCTATTATTTTGGTTATGTATTTGTTAAAGGCTCGAAATCAGAAGCCTCCGAGTATTGTTCATCGTCTTCTTCATTTTTCCTTCCTGTAATTTTCTCTCTGGGTTGTTTTCTCGAGAAAGTTACACTCGAGAGGTGTCGTTTGTTTCCTGATCAACCACTAGTGAATTGCGAGGTTACTTGGCCGAGACGTAGGATCGGTTTGTGATCCGAACTCGTAAAATCCTCTCGTCTCTTTCGTTCTCTGTTTTTGCTCTCAATTGCTGGGTTCTGTTGCAATCATCGGAACTGGATTTGAAAGGCAGCGGTACTACATAGATAAATGCTTGAAATATTACCAGTGTGATCTAATAAGCCAGGGCTTGAGATTTAGGAAGGCAAAATATGAAATGAATTGGATAAGGAACATGTGTCATTGGAGTCACTGAATTAATCATTGAGCTGATTAACTATACAGATTAAACAAACTTTTCCATGAAGATGAAATATTGTGCAATCCGGGTTTCTGTTAAAATTTTAGGTGCTGTTCAGGAGAATACTGAAAGGCCATCATCAAACAAAGTTAAGAAGTCAAGAAGTTCCTTGTCAAGCCGAGGAAATGGGAACATTAGGAGAAACAGCAGTGAAAGGCAGTCCGGTAAAGAAAATGGTTTTTGGTGGTTGAAGCTTCCATATGTTTTGGTACGTATATACTCAGGCTCTCTTCCTTTCTGCTTTGTTTACACAGTTTTAGTGTAGTAATAACGAAAGTTCTATACTTTCTTCTTCTTTAGAGAATTCTTATGCGGAGTAATATTGACGAAGAAGTATCTGAGGGTTTCTTTATTCTGATAACAGAATCTGCGGATAAAAATGAGACCGAGAATTCATACGTTGTTGCATTTGAGGATCAAAATGATGCCAGAAACTTCTGTTATCTGCTGGAATCGGTTTTTGAAGATTTAGGTGGTTTTTGCACCGATATTGTTCCTGCATCAACCAAGGTAAATACTCATACTCTGTAACAAGACGAGAAGAAAACACATTGATAAAGTTCGATCGAAATGTTAACTGCTTAGTCCCAACAGAAATACAATTTCGACATTTGTTTCCAAGGTAAATACTCGTACTCTGTAACAATACAGAGCATTATTTTTCTCAGAATCATCTTCTTTCCTTTCGATCTCACTTTTCTTCAGCCTTCATCAGTTCAATATCAAATTACTCACATGGTATCAGAGCCTCACGGCTGTTGATATCGGTTTTTCGGTTTTGTCTTCTCACTCGTCATTTCCATTGGTCTTTATTTTCGTATCTCGTTTCACTATTCTGTCCAATGGAAACTCTATCTGCAAAAATCATCCATGTGATCCTCACTGGAGACAATTACTTCTACTGGTCTAAGGCAGCCAAAGCGGTGCTCAAGAGTCGTGGCCTTTGGGATCATATCACCCAATCTCAAGCCGAAGAGACTGCCCCAGCTGTTGCCAATGTTGCCGGCCAAACAGAGGCCGAGAATCAAGTGCTTGTTGCACCAGCCCCTCATG